CCTTGTTCTCCCCTCTGATTCCTTTGGGTCCAGCAGTCCCTGGAAGTCCATAAATTCCTGGAGGACCAAGAAACACTAGACTGGTTATAAAGATATTTTTCAGACTTTTTTCCCTTTAGTATAGGAGCCTGAGAAGCTGTGGGCCACAGTGCGTCCTGTGCTGGAAGGTGGATTTCCCTGTTAATACAGGGAGGTTTTGGTCAAAATCAGCAACAAGTGACCCCTAAGCACATCCTCTCCCCATGATGCAGGGGGGATTTGATGGCTAAAGGACTCTGGTTTTTCATTCCCAAATTTTTTCCTATTCTTTCTCCCACCAGCATGGGGCTGCAGATATTAATAGGCTGTGAGCACCATGTGCCCACCCCGCGGATGCTGGCTAGTGGATGCAGGGAGAGCATGTCTGGGCTGCAGAGACTGCCAGTGATTCTGTTGCAAGGTTCAGACACGCTTTTTGGATTTCGCCTAATGAGTTTCTCCTTCCCAGGCTGTGGTCATGCTCCCTGAGTGCTGGTGAAGAGGAAGAGGAAATGGAGCAGGACGGGGAGGAAGAGGAGGAGGAGGAGGGGAAGAGGGAGGAGGAGTTGGAGGAGAGTGCGGGGTGAGTGGTTCCTGTTGCCTTGATGGCTTTGTTGGGATGAGCATGACTGCAGTTGTTCAGCTGCATTCACAAGGCAGAGAGGCTGAAACACCCGAGGACGAGCGGAGCGATCCAGCCTGGGGGGGGGGGATTGGGGATGGCGTCGGGGCGCGGACGCGACCCACCGTGGGGGGGGGGGACTGGGGATGTGCTCGGGAGGAGGGATGTGTTCAGGAGGGGTGCGTTCAGGAGAGGTGTGTTCAGGAAGGATGCGTTCAGGAGGGATGAATTCAGGAGAGTAGTTTTCAGGAGGGATGAATTAGGGAGGGATGTGTTTGGGAGGAGGGATGTGTTCAGGTGGGATGCGTTTGGGAGGACGGATGTGTTCAGGAGCAGTGAGTTCAGGACGAATGCATTTGGGACAGATGCATTCAGGAGGGATGCGTCAGGAGGGATGCATCCAGGATGGAAGCATCCAGGATGGATATGTTCAGGAGGGGCACACAGGAGGGATGCATCCAGGAGGGATGTGTTCAGGAGGGATGCATCAGGAGGGTTGTTTTCAGCGTTCAGGAGGGATACTTTCACAAACAGGCTTGCCTTGGGCTCTCTGCTCACGCGGCACCTGCTGCCAAGCGAGTGTCTCCTGGTGACACAGGCTCCATCTTCATTGCCTGTGGCAACCGCAGCCCCAGCCATCCCCTCCTGTGCGTCCGAGCAGGGACCTGACTTGTGCCTTCCTTGGGAGCACCCAGCTCCTGGAGAAAATCCATGTGATTTAAAACCACATCCATTAGTTCAAGGCAGTTGGGATGATTACGGACTTTATGGAGCTGAATTGAAAGATAGGATTATGTGTCGTGCCTGCAAATGCTTCCTAATACAAGCAGGTACAAGTTTACATTGTTTTTCCTATTGTAGAAAACAGCCCAGTTATTGCCAGTGGTTGTAGGTGGTGACTTTGGTCTAGATGGTATTTCGAAAAATCTTTCCACCTAATTTAGTGGTTCACTGTGATTTCAGATGAGATAAACATTTAGGGATTTAATACCTAGTGCTACCGTATTATTCACTATAAGTCCTCTGAAATAGCTGTAAATCCTCAATTAGTCAGTGTTAAACCCATATCTTTTTATTTCATCATAACCTGTTCCTACAGCTCTACTGGAGATGCTTGAGCTTCAGTTGCTGGGTGAATGAGATGCTGCTCCATCCCTCGCTGTGTTTGTTCATGGCAAAAGAGAGACACTGGCGGGTTTTCTAGGTTAGGATAAAAGACTTGTGATTGCATTTGAAGGGAACCTATTTAAACAAAAATAATGGGGGAAGGGTTGGAGATTATTAAAAACAATTTTAAAAAGACCTTGGAAAATAACAGCTTTTCAAGGCATGGAGATAAAAGAGAAAAGGAGTCGCTGCTTGTTTACGTATCTCCTCTGACTTAGGACCTGCCCAGGATGCAGGAAGATGTTTCTTTGGTTTTTTTCAATTTTCCTGCATTTAGCTGTCGAATGATATTTTCATTATCCCCAATTCCTGCTTCACGTTTCTCTCCAGGGAAGAGCACATCAGGAGATAAAGACACAGAACAACATGATGAGGCTTGGGGTTTTTTTCAGTTATAGTTATATTAAACCACTAAAATCGGCCTTGTGAGCCTCCTTTGCAGAATGGTGGAGCTGTGGTCTGCGTTTGCTGTGGGAGGAGAAGGAGGATTATGTATCGTGGTGATGCCTTGCACAGGCAGACATGGGGTTCAGGTGGTGCTTGCAGGGCAGCCCTGCCTTGAAATCAGACTCTCAGCTTTTTACGTGGTAAATCTTCACTATATGAGAAATCATTCTGCACAGCAGGAGGAACATACTGCCTGTACTTTTCTGCATATGCAATTTTTGCTTATGCATCTGCAATACCCTGCATTATTTATCGCCTCTGAACTGGTCTCCCATGTAGTATGTTTTACAAGTCCCTTCTAACCTAAGCAGCAATATTATGGGTAACATTTTTGGTACCCAAATGAAGATTTCTGTGGTATTGTTCACCAGCAAATGATGCTCGTGGTGCCCTCCAAAACTGAGAGCACCATGCATCATCCCCATGGATGTGTGCAACCTCAGAAAAGGCAGAAGTGAGGGCACTTGTCTCGGCTTGATGTCTTCCATCCAGACCCCTGCTCCTGTCACCTTGTCTCTCTGCTGAGGAGGATGTGGAGGAAGTCTACTTTGCAGAGGAGGCCTTCAGGATTGAGCAGCTAGAAGAAGCTGAGATAAGTGATCTCGAAGGTGCTTTTGTACAGGTACAGCATTGTTCCCTGCCTGGGCTCAGGTCTGCAATAAGATCTGGCTGCCCAGTGTTTGCCAGGGTCTCACAGCTTGTCTGGAAGGATGCGGTGCCCTGATGAGGAGCAGGGACCAGGATGAGCACTGGAAGTGTTTCCCACCAAGACATCCCCATCTCTGAACCCGAGACAGCAGCAGCAGCAATAGCTGTGCACAAAGGGAGGGGTGCTTTCACCCTAGAATGGTGATGCTGAACAACAAGCCGAGAGGCTGGAAAATGACAGGGCAAGGATTTAAGGGGCTTATGGGACACCCAATCAAGCTGCAAAGTCTGCTCTCTTACAGACAGGGAGGTCTTGCTCTCCTTAAAAAGGCTCTTTTCATTTTGAAGGTGGAAGAGGAGACAGCTGAAGCTGCTGAAACTGATGCTGAAGGTATAATATATAGCAGCGTAATGGCAAATTAGGATGACCCAAAGCAGGCAATGCAATGCCTAGTGAGGAGAAAATACCACTGCTCCCTCCTCAGGCAGCTGAGTCTTCTGCAGCATGGCCTGCATGGGGCATCAGGGCCTTCCACGGGCTTAAAGCATCCCATGGGCACTGGTTGATGGCAATGTCAGCAGCTGGAGCCAGATCTGGAAGGCTGGTGCTTGCACAGTACTTAGTCTTGACTAAACAATATCTGATGTGAAGGAAGAGTTTCTTCTTCAGCTGGAAAACTTAGAGGGGGGATAAAAAGTATTTTCTCTACCACTTTGCTCAATTTAGGAAACAACCAGTGACATAAAGCATGTTTTCATAGTAAGAAGATACGGGGTTGGTAAGGAAAATGGGGTGGTGTGCTCCCATCACAGCCTGAGTGAGCACAGGAAGGTCCTGGCATAAGTCCACTGTCAGCAGGGGAGCTGCACAAGGGATGGCTTGACCTGAGCCCTGGACCAGCCTGGAGATTCCTCTGCTCATGCAGCCCTTGCAGAACTCCCTGCTCTTGCAGCAGTTGTAGAAAAACTCATGGTAGGATGCTCACCACCACTGTCATGTGCCACCAACATCTGTGAGCAGCAGGCAGCAACAAACCCCACAGCCCTATGTTTCTCTGCGCTGACATAATTGTCTTGTCTCAAACCACTTTGTGTTTTATTGCAGCTTCAGATGTCCTGTCCCTTGCTTGAAGCACCTAGGCACCTAGCAGCATGGCCAGACGTGCCCAAGACATCGAGCTAGATTGGCTGGGGGCCGACAAGCGCCTGGCTGGGGGGGGGTTCTTCCCTTGGGCAAAAAAAAAGCCGCTGGCTGGGGGGGATTCCTCCCCTCCTGGCCACGGTGCGCTAGAGCAGCTCCCCAATGTCCCCAGCTACCGAGCCATCGCTGCCTCCCACATCCCAGCCCTTGTCGCCAGCAAGCCCAAGGCTGGAGCTGTCAACCCCAACTTTTGCCATGAGGAGCAACCTCCCTTAGGTATTAGAGATGTTGGCTTTGACGATGAGCTTGCATAGCTTGAGGGGGGCAAGGAGGTATTCCTGTAGTAGTTGCTTTTCGGGGAATAAATGCTTCATGTTGCAGCAGAGAGATGGAAGAATAGAATTCATGCTTTTTCTGCTTCTGCTTCATCACTATGTGCCTTTCCATCTAACCCCTAGAAAGCATTTGCAGATACCCGTAAATGACATGCTATATGTTTGAACTTGCTTGACCAAAAATTCTCCTGAAAGAAATGCTGGCAGAGGGTTAGAGATCTGCTGCATGCAGTTTTCTCCTTACCATCCGTGCAACCTACCCCTACTAAGAGGACAGCTGATAGAGGTTTGTTCTTCATGGTTTAACCCAGAAGTACAAATTCTGTTTCTGAAGCTTGCTTTGCCTTGTTTTCAATCAGCAAACCAAATTCTACTGCATTTCTTTACATGCGATGTGATTTTAACTTTGAACTCCAAATAAGTCTTTTCTTGGTGATTTGATAGAACCATGCTCTGATCCACTGGTCCCATATTGTGTGGGACAGGAGGGGATGTGCAGGGACTTTCAGACGTGTGAACCTCCCCCTCCCCCCCTTAGAAGGAATTCTGAAGGAACTCATTGCATTTTGTTATATAGCTAAGAAAAGAGATGACACTTTGCAGCCTGGCTGGCTGTGAAGTCTGACCAAGATAACCCCCAGCACCATTTCTCCCTCAGGCAGTTGACATCTCTCTTTCTCCCACTATAAACATCCAACCTTCCTGCTTCTAACCCTGCAGGTTAGAAGCAGATATTACCTCTGCAAAAGAGAGAGGCCCTAACTGCTTATTTATATAGTGCCTTATTCTGCATGAAAAGCAAATGCTTGTGTAATTTGGAGCTTGCATGATCCATATGTTTATGTTCAGAAGACCCAGGAGATGTTTCCAGACCCTTTGAGGGAGGTTTGCAGCTGGAAATTCTGGGTTCCTGTGTGACACCTGCAGCTGGTAATCCTTGTCTCCATCATGTTCCAAATTGTGGGAACCCAATACTTGGACAGAGTAGTTGCAATCACTGCAAGCTGGGAAAGCAGAAAGGGAGCAAGTGGCAGTTCTGATGGTGTTAAACACTGGGGAAAAGGAGAAAGAAATGCTCCAAAGTGTTAGAAGAAAGGAGTGCCGGGCGAGGAGGGAATGGGGGGAAATGAGAGTCCTTCTGGAATGCTGTGAAGTTTGGAGACAGCTCCATGAAGGCGATGGGGTTTGGGGGTACTGGGCCCTGCACCCCTCTCACCTGCCATTATTGTCCTTCTTCATGGGCCAGGTAATTACCCCACCGTGGACATCAAGGACGTGGACAGCAGAGGCGATGTGGTGGAGGACGATGAGACCTTCTTATGGGTGCCCACCACTGCCAGAAACATGCTGGTGGTGCCCAGAGCGGCTCCAGCATCCCCCAGGTATGGCTCTGTCCTGGCACATCCAGGGTACCCAGGCTTTAACCCGCTGATGGTGCCAGTATAGGAGTTTTCATAAAACCGTACGAAGTGACCTGCTTCTGGCAGGTTTGGATAGCGAGCCCTGTCTCTGTGTCCTCCTGGAGGTGGGCTCGCTCCCAAAGCTGTGGTCAGATCCCATTTGTTGTCCCATGCATCTGTTCTCCCAAATTCAGAGTGCAGAGGGTCTGTGTGCTGCCTATTGGCCTTCATCAGAAATCCCAACAATTATGTCCTTGTATTTTTCCTGGAAGTATTTACAGCATCTCCCCTTTGGCTTTGTGCCTTCAGATCAAGGATGCTCAGAGAGGGGGAGGACTGATGAACAGGGCAGACTATTCTGAGATGGAGAAGTCCACCAATTCAGGCTGTGTAACTCCTCTCTCCCTGGGATGTGTGACTTTGCTGCAGATGTTCATACCCCTCTGAATCAGGGTCAAGGTGCTAGGCTCTCTGTTATGCCTTCAACCAGCATAGAAATGGACAATTCATATTAACACCCATGTCATGCATCCCAGAACATCTTGGGCATCTTTGGAGCCCAGGATCCAGCAACCCAAAGGCACAACCTTAGTTTATTTAAAGCCACTTACCTTTGTACAATCCTGTCCCCACCATAATTTCTTACCAAGTCATTCATCAAGATCTTGTTGTGGCCTTTTGATATGTAAGGGGAGGCTTGTAAGAAAGATGGAGAAAGACTTTTGACAAGGGCCTGTAGGGACAGGACAAGAGGGAATGGCTTTAACCTGACAGAGCGGAGATTGAGATGAAATCTTAGGCAGAAGTTCTTCCCTGTGAGGGTGGTGAGGCCCTGGCACAAGTTGCCCAGAGAAGCTGTGGCTGCCCCATCCCTGGCAGTGCGCAAGGCCAGCTTGGATGGGGCTTGGAGCAACCTGCTCTAGTGGAAGGTGTCCCTGCCCATGGCAGGGGGTTGGATCTTCAAAGAAACTTCCTGTGCTCCTGTGGTTCCCCATAGAGCTATTTTTTGGAGCACCTCAGTTTTCTCATACCATTTTCTACCAGTTTCTTAAAGCAGGTTGTATATTTGCAATTACATGTATGAGCACATTAAACTTTCTGCTGTCTATCTAGGTAGTGTCTCTCAAGACAACACTGGTGTTCCCTTCTTAGAGCTTGAGATGTTTAAAAGCAACCACCTCCTATTTTGCTACATCAAGAAACAAAATTTCAGCCTTCTGAACCAGAAGGAAGATGCTTGACTCTGGCTGGTATTTTCAGAGGAAGAGGACATCAACTCTGCATTGAGTAATCATCCATTTATCCTAAGTCACTTCTATTGGCCACAGTCTTGAGTTGTTTCCTACAAGGGTCTGTGAAGGATTAGGATTAACATTGTTTAGACAGAGTCAGGAAAGATTCACCACAAACAAGCCACACTAGAGTTCTGGAAGTCTTGTCCCAAAAAGCATCCCCTGCAGCTGGACTATATCAAAGAACTGAATGCTTTCCAGGGGATTTCAGGAAAGGTTTCTTCTTCAACATGGATGATTGAGAACCTGTTAGACCTGCCAAGGTTTTGGACTTGTGGTTGCACATACATGAACTTCTCTATGGGACTTAACCTCCCAGTTTTTCTTTGAGCCCTTTACCCACCAGTTTCCACAATCCTCTGAAGTTTGCATTGCTTTTCAGGTAGCTCCTGCTCCTTCTCATATTGCTGTCCACTGGGAACACAGATGAGCTACAGGCACCATGCAAAATGTGCAGGATGTGTCCTGCACCTCTGAATTTACTGCCTTCTTGGGGATGTTTCTTGTCTTTTACATCTTTCTGAGGGCATCCATCAATCTGAAGCAAAAAGAGGCACTTTTCCCAGATGGATGTTGACACACAAAGCTTTGCATGTACTTGGAGGGCAACCACATGAGCTCTGTGGCATGGGGAGCCATGACACAGGCAAAGAGAGAGGTGGCATTACCCTCTCTACTGGGTCCCCCTTATAGAGCAAGAGGCCATTGAGCTGTTCATGTAGACATCTTAGGCTTGTTTATGCATGAGGATGGGCAATGGGGCAGCATGATGCTCCAGTGGGACAGAGCCAGGGGAAGGGCAGCTGGAGACTGGTGAGAGGTGATGGATGGTGACCTAACAACATCACAGACCTTAGCAGGACTTTTTCTCCAAAATGATGTGGTTTGGGGAACCTCTCCAACCACATCTGAGGGTACTTTGACATGGGGGTTGGTGGTTTTCCTCTGTCCCTGCAGTGCGCACTTGGGGTTTCATTGGGTTTGTTCATCTGCTCCCCTTCCCAGCAGGGCATGCCCAAGAGCCACTGAAGTTGGAGATGGGTGGGTTTGTAACATCCAGCTTTCTTCAGGAGATCTCTGATGGCAGGATGACCTCCCTCGGTGTCCTGCTTGCTCCTGCTCCACGTGCACACTGAGCCATTTTGCACCAGGGTCAGTGAGATCCTAGTTAATTTAGAGCAACTGCTCTGGTGGCAGAGGACAATTTCTGTGTTGCAGTTACAACTCTGGACTTGACTGCAGGTCGCAGTCCAGATTTTTGCCATGACTGTCATCTTCAAATCCACCTCTCCTTCTGCCACTTTGCTCACCCCCAAGTAAGGAATTTGCCCCTGAAAGCTGTCTGTACCAAAGGGAGTCATCAGCTGTGTTAGCACGCATCTTCTAGGAAGATATTAGCTGCCACTGCCTCAGCATCACCAGGACAGTGTTCATAGGGCTCCTCTTGAACCTCTTGAAGCCATTCTCAGCAAGTTGAACTTTACACTTGGCTTTAGAGGTGTCAGCAGCATTTGAAGAGTCCATGTTATGTACCTGCTGCTCTGCAATTCACTCTTTGCCTTGGGGATTACAGGTCCTACAGAGCCAGCTCAGAGCCAGGCAGTGTCCACAGAACCTTCTCCTTTTACCAGTTTCATTTTCTTGCTCCACCTTACTGGTATTTCATTTCCCTTGTTCACTTCTCGAAGTGCAGTGGTGTGATGGTGCGGCACTGGGGAGGAGGACAGACTGGTGCCTGCCCTCTGTGCATCTTGCTGGGTGCCCAAAATGGGTTGAAAAATGGTCTGGATGGTGCCCAGGAAGAAACAGGGTTTTAGCAGCAAAGGAGCGGGGTGGTTTGCTCTCATTTACTTCAGGCAATGCCAAAAAAAGGGGGAAACTGACCCTCATTGTAGCAGGGGAAGTGGAAAACAGATGAGACCTGGGAGAAGGAGGAGGAAGAGGAGCTGGATGAGGGTGGGGGAGAAGCCAAGCTTTGGTCGCTGTGCTTGTGTCCACAGGAGGAAGCTACTGGCCCCAGAGGATGGTTTGGAGGAGAGATCCATGAGCCAGTCCCCAACCCGAGCACTGCTGGGCTGTGATGAGAAGCAGAAGGAAAGGTGTGTAGTGGGGCTGAGGAGCTACTGATCACTCCCAGGGGTTCAGATCCCAGTGCTCTGGTGGAAATAGCAAAGATCCTAGGAGTCCTGGGATACCAAAGGGAGAGGGAGCTGCCTTCTCTGGGAAGCAAAGGCTTGGGGAGGGCCTGCACCTCCTCATAGGGCAGGGCTTTGCCTTCTTCCTGGGCAGAAATTGTTGTGCCACTTAATGCAATGAACCAGCCTGGAGCTACAGCCAACAGGCTTATTTCTGTCCTCCCTCCTAGTGATGGTCCTTGGCCATGCTAGGTGAGCATCCTGGTCTGAATCAGTCATAGAATCATGGAATACTAGAATGGTTTGGGTTTGAAGGGACCTTAAAGCTCATCCAGCTCCAATCCCCTGCCACAGGCAGGGATACCTTCCACTAGAGCAGGTTGCTCCAAGCCCCTGTGTCCAAGCTGGCCTTGAACACTGCCAGGGATGGAGCATTCGCAATCTGGTTTTATTAAAGAGTCTGAAAAGAGTCAATAGAGTTTGTAAATTCAGGGGTTTGGTGCATATTTTCATCCCATAGTTCTTCCAAAATCATCTTCTCCCAATCACATGCAATCCAGCATGGGATCTTGGTGCTTCCCACGTCCCTCTGAGGGCAAGAATGAGGTTTGGGTGGTGCAATTTGATGGTATCTTACTGAAAACACCTTAGCTTGTGTTCTGATTACACAATAACCAAATAAATACGGGTAAATCCTAAATCAGGATCCTGTAGCTTAAAAAATGGGCCACAATCCTGCCCTTGAGATGCCTGGTGGTTTGCTCACAGCCTGCCCGAGCGCATCGGTTCAGCCACAAGCCTGAGCAGCGCCGCCATCAGCAACCGGCTCCAGGAGCTGGTGAGGCTCTTCAAGGAGAGGACCGAGAAGGTGAAGGAGAAGCTGACCGACCCTGACATCACCTCAGATGAAGAGAGCCCAACAGCATGTGAGTTCGAGTGGGGCTGGGTCCACACACATTCTGTGTTTTCAGGGAGACAGCTGCTTTGTTAACAGGTTAAAGACGTTAGAACACATTGCAGCAAGAAGATTTTCTGCTCTTTCAAACAAGAGTTTCTGCTCTTTCAAACAACTGTGTGGCTTCTCCCAGCTCCCACCAAGCCAGCACCGCTGGCATCGCCAGTGCCTCCCCCAGGAGGGCAGCCAGATGGAGAGAAGGTGGCAGAAGAGGAGCACTACTGCGAGATGCTGTGCTGCATGTTCAAGCACCGGCCCTGGCTGAACCCCCTGAGAAACTACCAGTTCCCCAGCAGCATTGACCCGCTTACCAGTGAGTGATGGAGTACAGCCACTGGGCTGGTGAGGCAGCCAGAAAGGGTGAGGAGGGGAGGAGATGTGAGAGATGAGATCTTGTAGAGAAGGGAGGTCAACTAAGCAAGGACCAACTTACAAACGTCTGCCAAAAACCAGTCTTAAATTCCCTGCAAGGCACAGACCTTCCTAAATACTTCCCCTTAGCTGTGGTTGTCAGGAACATGACCAGGGAGGGGAGGAGCGGCAGCTTTCTGTTGTTTTTCAGGCTTTTTAGTGGGAAAACACTGTCCCTGTGGTGTGGACATCCCAAATAAAACTAAAAATCACAACAGAAAAATCCGCTGTCTGGTGGACACCCCTCAGGAGCTCAGCTCCTTCTAGGGTCTTTTCTGTTTCACAACCATTTCAAAGTCCTCAGGCTCTGGCAGATGGCCATCTGCTCATCACAGCCTGAGGAGGGAAAGAAAAGCAAGAAAGTAGAGCGCAAAGCAAAAGAAAACCTACTTGAATGAGCAAAGTTAGAAGAGGCTTTGTGACATAAAGCAATGTGCTTTGCAGCTGGTGGCATTCACTATGCATCTTAGGCCCAGCTCACTTGCATCTAGATGCTGTCAGTATTTAATAGACACCTCTTGCAAGTTTCCCTGTGGCACTAGGGGCAGGTCAGGGGGATGAAAAGTCCGTTGTCTGGTGGATTCCCACAGATGAGGGACACGTGCCCTGCTAATAGCAGTGTGATTCCTGTGCACAGATCTGATGTACGTGCTGTGGTTGTTCTTCGTTGTCATGGCCTGGAACTGGAACTGCTGGTTGATCCCTGTCCGCTGGGCTTTCCCCTACCAGACACCAGCAAACATCCACTGCTGGCTGTTCATTGACTACCTCTGCGACCTCATCTATCTGCTGGACATCCTCATCTTTCAGACCCGGCTACAGTTTGTCCAGGGTGGAGATATAATAGTGAGTGTCAGGGCTGCATCCCAGTGCTGGGGACTGGCTGGGGGACCCCTATGCCCCTGAGCAACATGGGTGCTGCTGCTCCATGATCTCTGAGTTGAGCTTTCCCACCAGGGCTGTGTCCACTCTTGGAGGACTGCAAGCATCTCTCCTGCCATGTAGTGGATAAGCTGCAGTCTTTTTTTGCCCTTAAGTCATATATTTTTGCTCTAAATTCAACACCAGCCTATCTAAAAAGCATGTGTGGGCCATGGCAGCCCCACTGCTGGGTAGGAATGCTCAGACGGTGCTGCTCCATGGAGCAGTGCTCCCAGCAGTGTGGTGCTGTGAGCAGATGGCACGATACATGTGTTTCGTATAAAGGAGCACAGCTAGGCAGAATGCATTAGCAACATGACAAGAGCGATTGCAATCTGAATGCACAGATCACACACCAGAGATAAGTGAAAGCCCCTGATTCTATTTCCATATCCAATTAAATAAGCTAGGAAAAATCAAACCTTGAGGGTACAGCTTTCCCATGGCCCACAGAAACGGTCAGATCTATAAATGTGTTCTTTGTGGCACTAGCACTGTGATGCACTTTCTCTGGGATGCAAAATGAGCATGGGATGTCCCAGGTTAGGATGGGAAGATGGCATACAGCCAGGTCTTCTATTGGTGTGGCCAGGATGATCATGCCAAGCTTTCCTCTTCTGCTCCTCTTGCTCTGCTCCCTTTCCTAGGCACAAAGGGAGCATCTTCCTGTTGTAGTGCAGAAGAGGAAAGCCAGGCATGACCATGTTGGCCATGACTTTCCTTTCTTAACCAATGATCAGTCTTTCTCTCTCTCTCCTTCCTCTGCCTGACCAGAGCGATAAAAAGGCCATGAAGGAGAACTACTTGCGATCACAACGCTTCAAGGTTTGGCATCATTTTACTCACAAATCTGAATCTTCAGTGTGAACCATGGCTTGCAGTTCCCCCCCATTACGACTGCAGGTCCTCACAGGGGTTCCTCTCTTTGCATGGATTTCAGATGGATTTGGTGTGCCTCCTGCCCCTGGATTTCTTCTACTTCAAAGTTGGTGTCAACCCTCTTCTGCGCTTTCCTCGCTGCCTGAAGGTGAGTCTGAGCTTACAAAACCAGGCAGAACACCAGCTGCAGTGGATGTGAAGGAGTCCCAGGCTGGTTGGGGTAAGCTGTGGCTTGCTACACTCATTGATGATGACAAGAGGGTTGTAAAATGGATGGGAAGCCTTGACCCAAAGGCTTTGCGGAGCTGTTGGTCAAACACTTTATTTCAATCCTAAAACATGTTCACATGTGAATAGAAAGGCACTCATAGGTGGAACCAAATCTGTCTGTGGCAGTTCAAGCTGCAGAGGGGCTGCAGGAGGGAAACGGAGGGGGAGTGGGGTTTTATGGAGATGTAACTCTCCTGGTGGGGGTCACAAGAAGCTGGAGCATGTTGGAGCATGCTGCTTTCCTTCTCCTCCAGTACATGGCCTTCTTCGAGTTCAACAACCGCCTGGAGGCTATCCTGACCAAGGCATACATCTACAGGTGAGGGAAAGGGAGGGAGGGAGGGAGGGAGAGACAGTGGAGTTGCTGTTTGCTACTGGGAAAGAAGGTTTGCTTTAGTGTGCACCCATTCTGGGTTCCTGGTTTATATGTTGTCCCTGGATGTCCCTAGCTGATACAGATGTTACCTGATGCAGGTGGGATGTAGAGTCCTGGAGCTGTGTGAGTAGGATCCCCTGTCCCTCATCCAGCACCAGAGGGTGCTGATGGTGAAGAGGAGCCACCAGTGAACAAACTGTTTTTTCTGGCACCTGTGGTGCTGCAGGAAGAAACCCGCACCTTTAGGTGCTCTGTGGTTCCTGCACTTGGCTCATTGCTTCAAAGCTCCTTGTGATGCTGGGGGTGTTGTGACATGTTTCTCCCAGCACACACCATATCATGTCCCTTCCTGTTCTCTTCTTTTTTGTTTGTTTTGCAGAGTGATTCGGACCACAGCCTATTTACTGTACAGCTTGCATGTGAACTCCTGCCTCTATTACTGGGCATCAGCCTATGAAGGACTGGGCTCTACCACCTGGGTCTATGATGGGGAAGGAAATAGGTACCAGTCAGGGCTTGGGTCCTCATGTAGGACAGATTGCTGTGATGAGCTGGAGCAAGAAGGCAGGTGTTAGGATGCAGCTGGGTTCCTAAAAAAACCCCGAAGAAATGGGCTGTGGGTGCCAGGAGATGTGGAGCCAGGGAGAATGATAGGGACAGGAAGGGTGGGATGTGCAGTAATATACGAAGCTGCAGGTTAAGGAATCTGCAGTTGGGCTGAGATAGGAGGCAATGGCAGGTTGAAAAGACTGAAAAAACTGGGAACCTGATGCTGGGAAACAAGGGAATGCTCCCCAGCCAAGCAGGATGGGAGGGTGAGATCTGTTCCTGTTGACCTGCTGCCAGGCTTGAAGCTGTGTGTCCTTGGTGCTATGTGTCAGGCCCTCGGGTGAGACCATAGCTCTCATTCCCAGGGTGTGAGACAGGGACAGTGGCCACCCTTTGCCATGGCATTTCCAAGATACGCGCGTTAAACGTCTGTTATGTTGTGAGTGATGGTTCCCACACGGAGAGCACTTGGTTCATGAGCTGAGCACCACCTTCTAGCGATGCCCATGCTGAGTGTTTTACAACACGGGCATAATATGAGCCTGAGTAACATTTAAATGAGAGTTTCCTGCAAAAAGGCACCGGCAGGTGACTGTCACCCTTGCAGCCCTAGTAAGGGTGTCGCCTTTCCTTTGAGCACTCAGATTCTCATGTTAATGTTGCTGTTATGTAGCTACTCAGCATGATATACATATCTGTAGCTATCTCTGGGTGTAACTATAGCATCCAAGGGAGTGCCCAAGACCAGTGAATCAAGAATCCACTTGACATGTCTGGAGTCTCATGCCAACAATTTGCTCACAAACCCTTTTTTTCCCCTGACTATTTCTAAAAGTGTAAATGTTGCTGAAAAGACATTTCTGGCTTATGGTAGTAGCGCTGTATGAAGCAGAAAACTGAGTAGCCATTGCAGCTCCCATGCTGAGCCTCCCATGTGGAGGTTTCTGGAGGGTCCCTACATGCTCCTGCTCCTGTAGCATCTCAGAAGCACCTGCATGTGTGGTGGAGAGTTTGCAGCCTTCAAAGCTGCCTCCTCTTTTCCTCCCAGCTACATCCGCTGCTACTACTGGGCAGTCAAAACCCTCATCACCATTGGGGGCCTGCCAGACCCCAAGACACTGTTTGAGATCGTCTTCCAGCTGCTGAACTACTTCACGGGTGTCTTTGCTTTCTCCGTCATGATAGGGCAGGTGAGCAGGTGTCCTGTGGGCTCCCAGCCTCTGCTGGAGAAGGTTTTGGTGGGGTTGGTCCACAGGTTTGTGTCTCTGGGTTTGTTTTCCTCACAAAGACATGCTCAGCAATGGTGGAAGACAACACGGGTTTGGCAGATGCTGTTAGGACTCAGCAAACATGCTCTAGATTGCTTAACTGGTGTGATGGATAGGTGACAGCAATTAAAACATCTGTACCACCTCTTCCTTCCATCCAGATGAGAGATGTAGTTGGTGCTGCTACCGCTGGGCAAACGTACTATCGGAGCTGCATGGACAGTACCATTAAGTACATGAACTTCTACAAAATCCCCAAAACAGTTCAGAACCGGGTGAAAATGTGGTACGAGTACACGTGGCGTTCGCAAGGCATGCTAGGTGAGGGTCTGCACGTGCGCTGCTTTTGCTGTACAAAGGCGAAATGTTACTGTCAAATAGCACTGCAGTCATGGGGAGGGAGTGGCTTGTTCTACTCTTATTTACCCATATCTAGGCTGCCATCAAGTTGTGCATCACTCATAGAGCACCGAGTCTAGCATCCCACCCACTAGTCCCTGGGGAGAGGGCAGTGACTAGCAATTGCTGGCCAGAGAGTATCTAACAGCAAACCCACAAGCTTACCTGAAGAGTAAATCATAAAATCACAGAATCATCCAGTCCCAACCCCCTGCTAAGGGCAGGGGCACCTTCCACTAGACCAGGTTGCTCCAACTCCCTGGTCTTGAACACCGCCCGGGATGGGAAGCCAGTGCCAGTGTCTCACCACTCTCACAGTGAAGAATTTTCTTATATCTAACCTAAATCTCCCATGTTTCAGTTTTAACCCATCACCCCTTGTCCTATCACTACAGTCCTTGATAAAGAGTCCCTCTCCAGAATCTTTGTAGGACCCCTTCTGATACTGGAAGGCTGCTCTGAGGTCTCAACACAGCTTCTCTTCTCCAGGCTGAACAGCCCAAACTTTCTCAGCCTGTCTTCATACGGGAGGTGCTCCAGCCCCCTGATCATCCTCTTGACCTCCTCTGGACTCGCTCCAGCAGCTCCACATCCTTCTTGTGTTGTTGCCCCAGAGCTGGAGGCAGGACTGCAGGGGGGGGTCTCCCCAGAGAGGAGCAGAGAGGCAGAATCCCCCTCCCTGACCTGCTGCTCACGCTCTGGGGTGCAGTCCAGCTCACGGAGGGGTTCTGGGCTCAAGTGCCCACTGAAGCTGGGTCACGGGGAGCTTCTTGTCACCCAACACCCCTAAGTCCCTCTCCGCAGGGCTGCTCTGGATGTTTTCTCTGCCCAGCCTGTAGCTGTTCAGGCAGGACCTGAACACCCACCATCCTGGCCAAGAAAGATGCAGCTTGGGCTCACTGGACTGTCTCTGAGAGCCATCAGGGCAGACATAACATGAAGGGCAGCTCTCTGTCACTCGCTGGCTTTAGACCTGCAAGTTGCTTGGTGGGCAGAAGCTGGAGGAGACCCTCCTGGGCAAGCCTGCTCCTGTCCTCTGCCACCAGAACATGGGCTGCTTTCCCACTTCCACACCAAAGACATGGTCTGGGATTAAGTGCAGGAAAAAGCCAGTGTTCTGCTTTCTCCTACAGATGAGTCAGAGCTGCTGGTGCAGCTGCCAGATAAGATGAGGCTGGACATCGCTATTGATGTGAACTACAGCATCGTGAGCAAAGTGGCCCTCTTCCAGGTAGCCCCTGCGGTGCGGGTTCTGGCCAGCACAGCGTGCCATACTGGCACAGAGTAACCATGTTGCTGGCTCTGTTTTGGCTCAGGGCTGTGACAGGCAGATGATCTTTGACATGCTGAAGCGGCTCAGATCTGTGGTCTACCTGCCCAATGACTACGTGTGTAAGAAGGTAATGAGATGTTCACGTGCCTTCCAATCCCAATGTCATGACTGGCTGTGCAGGAGCACTGGGCTGCACTAGCAGCAATGCAGAGTGGGAAAAGCCAGGCCTGGCCCATCACCATGGCATCGAGCCACTTCAGAGAGCAAAACCATCCTCCTTTGCAGCTGGTCTTGTACAAAGACTGACCTCTTCCTCTGCAACCATGAACAACAGGAGAGCAGGGAAAGTAGGGGGAAGACTTTGGGATGCTTAGATGAGGATGCTCAGGAGTGAGCACCATCAGGACAAAGCATTTGGAGAGCTTGGAGAGGGCAGCATGGCTATGGGGTTTTCCAGCACAATACAGGTTAGGGCACCCATAAGTTCTCCCTGTTTGTGGGCACCCCATACAGCACCCATCTTCACTGCAGGGAGAAATTGGCCGTGAGATGTACATTATCCAGGCGGGACATGTGCAGGTGCTGGGGGGACCTGATGGCAAAACTGTGCTAGTGACTCTGAAACCTGGATCCGTGTTTGGAGAAATAAGGTAAGTGAAGCATTTCCAGGGAGCCAGAGGAATACAGCTTGTAAGCTCTGAGTGAGGAGGGTGGGAAGTGGAGAGATCAGCAGCACCGTAGTTAATCACTGCGACTGAGAGCCACAAACACTGAGCAGTGTCTGCTACACAAATTACAGCTTGTTTTCTTGGATCTTGTCTATTTTTGTGCTGTTTTCTGCTTGGCATTAGTGACAGTAAGCAGAGGTATATGGAGGGATGGGAAAATCAATAAGAAAAGATATTTCACTAAACCAGGCCCCCATCCACCCATTTCCCGAGTATATAAAATCCTGCACCAATAACACAATGATGGAGGTTGCCTCCCTACAGCCCAGTAGACACCAGACTGGTGTAAAATGCAATATTTAAACCTTCAAACAGGCAAATCCTTTCTTACACAGCTCTCCTTGCCAATGTTTCCCATCACTCTTTAAAAACTGGGCTTGCAGAATTTCATTGAGGGTGAAAATTAAACCCTGAGTCCTCTGAACAACAGAGATGGAGACATGGAAAGGGAGATACTCTTTGATTTTAAGTCATGCCCAATAACAGCATTGACGTCTCACCGTGTCTCTCTCAGCTTGCTGGCGGCAGGAGGGGGAAATCGACGAACAGCAAATGTCATTGCTCATGGCTTCGCCAACCTTTTCATTTTGGATAAGAAGGACTTGAATGAGATTTTGGTGCATTATCCGGAGTCTCAGAAGCTGCTGAAGAAGAAGGCCAAGTGCGTGTTGGGCTGACGCTTTCTAGCCAGTGGGGTTTCCAAAGAAAAACAGAGAAGGGATTTCAGCATCACACAGGACATTTCTCTGTGTGCAAAGCCCTGGGGAAGCTCCTGCTGCAGGCATTAGGCATAAGTCCCTGGAGGAGAGTGGGACTGGAGCTGCTGCACCACGGCAAGAAGCCTGCAGATGCCAAGAGCCAGCCCAGCCCTGCTGCAAAGCACCCTTCCCATACCTAAAGGGGCTACAAGAAACCTGGAGA